TTTTTGAGAAGATTTTATTCTAAAAAAATATTCAGGAAATCTGTACTCAACTCATCTGTTTTTCATAGAAGCTTGTGTTATGCCTTTCAAATCTTTTGTAGACCTTATGTCCAGCATAAAACATGTAACTCCAATTATAGCACCAACTCCCATAAAAGCACATAATGATCCATAGGCCAGCGCACGTCTTGCCAATCTTGAGCCTTCTTCTTTTAAAGCGTGGTTAGGATGAGAGAAAGTTTGAGGAGCATGATCTTTGCTTTTCCGTTTCATTCTGGAAAAACCAACTCCGAAACCTATTCCGAGCCAGAGAGATCCAAGACCCATCAATGCCAGACCTCGAACTGCGCGCTTCTTGAAATCTTGTTTCTTATCAACCTCTGGACTTTGTCCGGTAATTTTGGTCAAAAATTCACTCATATTTCTAGCGACCGCAGCAACTTCTGTACGCGACTCAAAATCAACTCGTTAGCGCTGTAGCAAGAGCTGCTCAAAAAGGGTTTATGTATTTGAACACAATTCAGTACCAATATCAATTCTTTAGCAGTATCCTCAGAGAACACAAGCTTTTCTTTTTTCAAAATTTCAATAACCTTCCTCCTGTTATCAATAATTATTTTTTCGTCCAAGTGGGCGCCTTTTGATTCCTTATCGAAGTCCGGTACTTTACTCTCCAACTTCGTTAAATTATTCTCAATAGACTTCACGTCTTCCTCGCTCAAAAAATCTTGCACCGAATCCGCGTTGATTTGATCAATAGACAAAACTGCACTCCTGATTACAACTCTGATTCCAGATTTAACTGCTAAAACTACAGCCAGAGACTCCGGATCAACCACTGCAACTTTCCCAATGGTTGGCTCGATGTTGTGCAGATGTGATATTTTTACTAGAGACCCCACGAGATCGAATATATCCTCGAAGGTGTACTGGAGAGGTTTCTCCTTCATTTCATTGCCTCTGAAGAAACAGAAAGTGCAATCATAGCAACTGAAATGCAAATGGGTTGCAATTTGACAAGCGTGCCGGTACCCTTCTTCCTTCTAGATAATAGTACCCTTCTCAAGCTTATTTAGTAAATAATTGTAAATTGAAAAACAATTCAACGAAGATATGAAACCTTCCTTATATTCACTAACTTCTTTATATTAGATCTCTGGAACCTAATTCTCGACACCGAAAAAGAGAATTTTTTAAACCTAGCCACATCTTAAATTTTTTCGATAAGATACCTCAGTTGACCCCTTATGACTTATTTCAGGCACAAAAATCGCGTGAATAAATCCAGCAGAGCCATATATTTATCCCAGGGTGACCACTTCAGCCGAGAAAAAAAGTGACCTGTTCTTTTTATTCGTTAAATAGCTATAGCATTCTAGTTGGCTCATAAAAAAAAGGATTTTATTGGATTACTCATGAATGCAACAGTAAAATGTTTAAAAAAACTTTAAAAATGTTGAAAATGTTTAAAAAATGATTTAACAAAACACAAAAAAGTTACTTTGAGTGACTTTCGACAAAAAAGTGACTAGTCACTCAAAAAGTGACCAAATGGACACCTTGATCTTTCACATTCCCAGAGGGCTCGGAAGACTAATAAACAGAGAGACACCTTCGATGAGGAAAATAAAATTATTCACCAGACAATTTTGCAGTTACATTCAACGATTTAGTAAAAAGCAGACTACGAGAAGCCACCAAAAATTGACAACGCAAAAAAATTCGGAAAATTTTCAAGTATATCAAAATATCTCATACTTCTCATGAAATATCCCTATTGTCAGAACGAAGCCAACAGACAGTTAGAAAAGAGTCAATGAACGCAAGTAAACAAAAAAATAGTTTCTTTAAAAAATACTTAAAAAAATACTAAACTTTACAAAATTAATGCCCTTAAAGCTCTTTTATTTTCACCAACATTTTACGATAGCTGCATTTTTGATAAATTTAACCTAATTTGAGAAAACTGGATCAAAAAACAAAGCTTATAGCTTGCTGGAAAATGTGAAAATTAAATTCCACTTTTGAAACTAGAAGTCGATCACGTTTTTCGTGAACTTCCAACTTATGCTGTTCGATAGTGGAGTTTACCTTCCTTTTAACAAATGAAAATCAACTGAACTTTTAAAAAATCGAAAGTCAAACCGCGAACAAAATAAATTTGAGCCTGAACAATATTTTAGACTTTTCCTGTAAAAAAAATGAAAAAAATGAAAAAAAAAAATAAAAAAATCTTATTGGCCTCTAGAAGACACAGTCGTTTAGTATCGGAAAAACAAATTTAAACGAAACTTTCTGAACAATTAATAACTTTTGTACTTCATATCAATTATACTGCGACGTGTGAGCAGCTTTTTCAACTCTTGTAAGCTTATATTTAGCTGAAGGAGTTAAGCTTGTATGTATGCTTCAATTAGCAATGGCCAATACACAACTTAAAATTTAAATTGAACGAGATTGTTGACGGCTTATTTTTTGACATTAAAGCATTTGAAAATATGGATCAATTGAGCAATCTCCCCCCACGCAAAAACAGTAAAGCGCTACAAAAAGACGTCAGCAAACGCAGGAAGATGGTTGATATGTTCGTAGCACGCAATCAATTGAGCGACTGAAGTTTATTCTATATGAGTATCGAGAAAAATTTTGAAAAAGAAAAAAAGACGAATTTTTTAATTGAAAAAATTCGATTCTATAATTTTTTTGCAAATTTTTGTTGGGGCGATTATTGCCTTATCAGGAAAGCGACTTACCAGGGTTGATGCTCTAGTCTTGTATCTGTATATCAAACATTGCTCTCCGCAGCACCTTAATGTTGTATGCAAAACAGTTTTCATCCTTTGAGGACAGAAAAAAGTAGCTTTATTTGCTTCAAATTTATTATTTTTTTCACTCTGATTGTACTTTTCCAGCTTTGATTTTGTAAATTTTCGCCTTCCACATTCGTTGGAGAATCTGTTTATGATTTCATATCATCCAAACTATTTTCAAGTGTTTATATACAAATCTCAAGAACCTATTGAGCTTTATCCTCCCCGAACGAGAATGGGGGGATATTGCTCAATTGATCCGAAAATATTACACATACAGGCGAGAGACGCAATTCAGAGGGCTTCATACTAAAATTCCGACCAAGGGAATTTGAACTTGGAATATTTACAGATTTTTTTGATATCTTAATTATAACTACAACGGTCCGGCCCTACTAGTACAGTTGATTCTCCCTCATTGGACTATCTGTTGGGGTACCAAGAATTGTGCGCAAAAAACCCGAATAGGAAAAAAAACGCAGCAGATATAAGTAGAGTTGCTCAAGTCTATGAGTTCAATACAAAACAAGGATAGCCTGTTGCTGGGCAAATTGCACACAAATTTCCAATTACGCCGAAAGAGTAATGCAAGCAAAGCAAGGGAAAAACACTTGTTTTTAAAAAAACTTTCAGCATTCGGACATTTTAGAAAAAATAAAAGCCCTTAAAGCTCTTTGAATGCCAAGGACAATTAATGATAAATTAATGATGGGTGCTTTTTTGATAAAATCAACACAATTTGAGAACACTGGACCATTCGTTAAACTTTTCAATCCGCTGAGAAACCTGAACATTAAAATCCACGTTCGAAACTAGACGTCGATCGCATTTTTCATGAGCTTTACACATTTCTTGATCGACAGTGGAGTTTTCCTTCCTTTTAACAAATGAAATAAACTGAATTTAAAAAGAAACCAAAAGTCAAACCGCGTAAAATCAAAATTGGGCGTAAAATTCCAAAACTTTCTCCAGAAAAAAAAACAAAAAAATTACCAATACTTATAAAAGAGTCTTTACTACGTTCATTACTCTTAAAAAAACAAGAGTAACAGCTTGCTGTGCAAGTAGGACAGCATTTTCCGACATACATCGGAAAATCCTTTTAAGTTTCTTCACTTTTCAACTTCAAATTACTGTCGTTTTTTGAGCGTGGTGTGAGGAAAGAACTTTCCAAACACGTAAGAAAAATAAAGAATTAAGCATTATCCACAATAGTTGTCTTCATAAAATGACTGAACGAACACTTTTTTGTTTGAAAATTTTCATAACCAAGGTAGCACAAAATAAAGCTTCCAAAACTTGTTTTCCTTTTTAAAAAATCAAGATTTCTGACCCTAAATGACCCAATGTCATATTTAACTAAAGATACTCGATTGCTTTACTCGCTCTAAATTAGGCTAAAATTCAAAAATTTTAAAGTCAAAAAGGTTTTCCTCACACAGGCGAAGCTAGAAAACGACAAAAGGCAGCTATAAAATTTCCGATTTGTCGGATTCAAACCTGCGACATCGAGATTAGGAGTCTTACATTCTCGCATCTGCGTCACGGGCCCTTTAAACCTGACAGACACTAGCCACCAATGATGCAGCTATAGATGCTAATAAAACAAAAGCACTAAATGCGACCAGATAAAAATTAAGCTAGCGCTAAGTCTCGCGTTGAAATTCCGACCAGTAGATTAGGAGTCGCACTTTCTTCCATCTGTTCCACGATCGCTAAACGACCGAAACACTAGTCACAAAGAAAGTAGATAACAGATGCTATGAAATTTCCAAGGCTACAGATCGTGATTATAGCTAGAAAGTCACCAAATGAGCACTTTCATTCGCAAGTCAAGTTAGAAAAAAAGTCGAGTCAAACTACTACACTTCGCTCGCTAATGTAAACACTGGAACAATTGTTTTAAAAATTTTTGATGCCGTCGTTCGAATCACGACTGAAAAGGCTTTCATGATATATCACTCGATTCATTCCCAGAATTATTTTTGGTACTTAATTTTGCTTGGAAAAAAAAAACTAAAACTTACTCGAATACAAAGTTCCTTTTCAATGATTGAACAAACATGATAGAGTAGTTATTTTACATTTCATGATAGAATTTCACAGGAAAAAAAACCGTCAACATTATCGAGGCAGTGATAAAATGGATCAACATGCAACTAGCTTCTTAAACGCGTAAAACTATGCCTGTTGGTAAAAATATATATATTGTTACAATTGTTACGAAACATCAATCTTTCAGTTCTGTTCTACCCTATCATAATATCCAGAATAGCACTTCTTACAAACGAAAGCGAAGGAGTCAATCATTTTACGAAGTGTCTAGCTTGACAGTTTCGCCTGGCTTAAACGGAGGCATTCCCAAGTAAGGACAGGAGCTACAGCGGAATGCGTCTCCCAAGTAACAGGAACCACAACTACTTTTCACAGGTGGCGCATCTTTTCCCGCCAATTCCTCTGCCAGTCCACAAGTGCAGTTTTTACATGCCTTCTTTTTACCTGATTTGGGCCCACATTCTGCTTTGAGTGAATCAGCAGTCGGTCGGCTAAGATCTTTTTCGGTCAAAAGAGCATCGGTATCAATCAAATCATCGTCATCGTCCATGTTTAGTTTCCACACCTTTGCACTCCCGGTTGAGTTGCTGGCCGATTTTGAGCCAAAAGTCAATTTCTGCGAAGCACCAGTTGAGAACTTTTTGCTTGCTTTCAAAACCTTGATTCCGTTAACTGTCTCGAAATCACTGCCGCATGAGAGTCCAGATAGCCTGACAGTCTTCGATATGCTTTCATGCGAAGCATCATCAGGAGCAGCCGCAATCAAAGAGCCTTCAGATTTCATAGTTTTAGAGCAAAATTCAAGAATCGGCTCGCTTAATTCAATTGAATCGGTTAAAATCACAATTTCAAAAGAGTTCGCAGCTCTAGTTGATGTCTCGATTTGCTGGCATTGCTCGAAAGCTATGTTAGAGACTTTGGGGAATTTTGATTTGATTTCCTGCATGAACCCTTGCAGTTGTTCCGGGGATTCAGTGTTCCAAAGAGTTAAGATGGAGGTGAAGTTCTCAGGGAGACAATCCAGAAGCAAACCAACTGTCATTGTCGCAAAATTACAATTTATCTGAAAATTTGGACCACGATCATTTAGAAAGATCGATAATAATAACAGCCTGATCGCTAAGATTTTAGTCGAAACTCTTATTGAAAACAGTCTTAAAGTTTCGAATCGTAAATTAAAGAACGCCACTTTAGAGAAAACAATCATACAAAATGATCACATGGAAGCTATCAGCAGAGCAGTTACGTCAAATTTGCTCCAGCAAAACACTGCTATCAACATCAAAAACTTGGAATCAACTCAAAGTTTATCAGTTTTTATTGTTTTAGCTATTTACTTCTACTTTAAACGTCTTTAAAGCTTCTTGTTTGAAATTCGAACAACGCTGAAAAAAATCAATTGGTTACTTTGGGAATTTGGATCTGGTCAATTTGTTTTCCCAAATTCTCTATGTTTTGATCCGCCCAGTTCAATGAATCCACGTGTGCATTCAAAATACGTTCCAATTGGCCGAATGGCGAGGCAACCGAACTTTCGTCGTTCTGTGATGATACATTTATGCGTTCAATAACTTCTCTCAAGTCTTGCGTCATTTGCTTCAACTGAGAATCAATACTTTCAGCTGTAGCAAAAACATCTCGTCTTTGCTCATCAGCCGCGTCTTGAGGCTGACTTAACGCACTGTTTGTTAATGAACCTTCCAAGTTATTAATGAACTCTTCAAGATCTTTTTGCTGGGTTCCAATAAAATCCAAGTCCTGGTCTAACTTGTCCTGATTGACCTTTATCTTGCCCATTTCTTCATTTAAAGCTGTGATTCGATCTCCGTTCTCAAGTACAAGACGGTCCCAAGCGTTGATCTGTGTTGCCTGGGCTAAAAATTGACGTTCCAAATCATCTAAATCATCGTTCCACTTGCTGACATTTTCTTCTAGCTGTTTAAACGTAACTTCTTTGCCAGATGTTTGTTGAGCAGCTGCCGATCCTCCCAATATACTAGTTGTGACTGTCGGTTGTATGGACACAGAAGTTGCACTAGAAGCTGCAGATGATTTCAAGCCCAAATTCAAACCAGTAGCCGAGACCCCAGTCGTCGAAAACAGACTAGAGACACCCGTTGATGTTGGGGCAGTCGAAGTTGACGCCAACACGTTTAGAGACAAACCAGTTGCTGAAGTTGCACTTGTTTTTGGAATCCCGAATGAGAAATTTGACTGCGTCCCAGCCTGCGTTGCCGCAGAAGTCGCAGCCACTCCACTTGACATTCCAAAAAGGCTCCCAACATTTGGCTGATTAGCTGCTGTTGTTGAAGAAAAAGAAGGCAAAACGCTGGCCGTTGGCACTGAATTAGTCGTGGCGCCTCCGAGGATTCCAGAAAGCACTGGAGTCGAGGTTGCAGTGGGTTTCTGTTGGCCACTAAGCTGTAGACCTAGTCCAGGAGCCGAAGCTGTAGCTGCTGGGTTCGAAGTACCAAATAAGCCACCTTTATTCAGTCCAGCGCCAGAAAACAAACCACCAGCTGGCGCAGATGATGCTGGCGGCTGTCCGGTTAGCGAAAAGCCCCCAGTCGGGCCTGTGGCAGCGGGTTTCGAGAAAAGAGATCCAGCTGCTTGTCCTGCAGAAGCAGTCTGTGTGCCAAAAAGTCCACCAGCAGGGGTCGCAGAGGAAGTACTACCAAAAAGTCCTCCAGCTTAAAATAACGAATTCTTTGGATTATCTACGTCTAATATATTAGGTATTAACTTAATGAAATCAGTATACTATGGGTGCATTGGGTTTTTAAAATTAATCTTTTGTTGGCTTAGGGCATTATGAGGCTCAGAAAAACAAAGATTGAATACACTCACCAGAACTAGTTCCAAACAATCCAAGCGGCTTTTGCGCATTTTGATTCGGTTGACCTCCAAACATCCTTTCAAAATCTGAAAATTAATCCCGACATCCAACTAGCACTATGCAAAAGCATCTCCGCAGAACGAACAATACTGCTCGTATCAGAGCGAAGCAATGTTCTGAATAAAGCTTAAAGTTGATTTTTTGGCTTTTTTTCCTTTCCCCCCACCTGCAATTTTTTACAAGTAAAATTACTGTTCCCACCAACCGATTAACAAGAAAATTGGCATGCGGGGGGAAGGAAAAAGAGCCGATTTTTTCGTAAAAATTGATAAGATTTCGAAAAGATTCAAAATTTTAGATTTTCTTTTTAACCCCCAGACGCTATGTGAAGTAAAAAAGCATATATATTGAGTCCGGTAACGCATTAAAAAGAGCAAATAGCAGCATCAATTCCATTTAGAACAATTTAATTAGCCGTTTACGCTTTAACGCCGAATATATCGCGCATTGATTATCCCAAATAGGCACATTTCAATCCGTCATATCTTTACGATACATAGCCAACAGACAATTGGAATTAAATCAACGATCAAAAGAAACAGAAAAAACTTGTTTTTTGACAAAACCTCAAGATTAAAGTTTCAAATTATAGCCAACAGATAGTTGTAAATAGCCAATGAGCGCAAATAAACAGGAAAAAACAGACCTGTTTTTTGAAGAAAAAAAAATTTGAAAAAAAAAATTCGAATTTCAAAAAAAAACATTTGCCCTTAAAGCTCTTTGAAATTTATGAACAATTTATGGAAATGCGTGTTTGATAAAATTAACCCAATTTGAGAATACTGGATCAATAAGTAAATTTTTATTTCGAAGGGAAATTAAAAAAATTAATTTCCACTTTCGAAACTAGATGTCGATCACGTTTTTCGAGAGCTTCACATTTTTTCGGTTCGATAGTTGACTTTGCCTTCCTTTTAACAAATGAAATGAACTGAACATAAAAAGCAATCGACAGTCAAACCCCGAAAAATCAAATTTGAGCGTGACCAAACTTCAAGACTTTTCCTGAAAAAAAAATCATCACGATTTATATAAGACTCGCCACTAAACTCATCGACTCTCAAAACATGTATGGCCTCAAAGTTTTTTTGGAATTCCAAAACAATTTATGATTAACTTTGTTTGATGAAAAACCCATTTTGAAAAAACTGGATCAATACTAAGTTTTTTATTCCGCTAGGAAACTGAAAAATTAAAATTACTTTCGAAACTATAGATCGATCACGTTTTTCGTGACCTTTACAAGTTTATTGTTCGAAAATCAAAATCAGAGCGTGACCAAGTTTCAAAAGTTTTCCTGGAAAAAAAAATCATCACGACTTATATAAGTCTTCAGTACTTTCATCGACTCTCTAAAACATGCATGACCTCAAAGCTCTTTGAGCGCAAAGAAACAGGAAAAAACAGACCTGTTTTTTGAAGAAAAAAAAATTTTGAAAAAAAAGATTCGAATTTCAAAAAAAAACATATGCCCTTAAAGCTCTTTGAAATTTATGAACAATTTATGGAAATGCGTGTTTGATAAAATTAACCCAATTTGAGAATACTGGATCAATAAGTAAATTTTTATTTCGAAGGGAAATTAAAAAAATTAATTTCCACTTTCGAAACTAGATGTCGATCACGTTTTTCGAGAGCTTCACATTTTTGCGGTTCGATAGTTGACTTTGCCTTCCTTTTAACAAATGAAATGAACTGAACATAAAAAGCAACCGACAGTCAAACCCCGAAAAATCAAATTTGAGCGTGACCAAACTTCAAGACTTTTCCTGAAAAAAAAATCATCACGATTTATATAAGACTCGCCAGTAAACTCATCGACTCTCAAAACATGTATAGCCTCAAAGTTTTTTGGAATTCCAAAACAATTTATGATTAACTTTGTTTGATGAAAAACCCATTTTGAAAAAACTGGATCAATACCAAGTTTTTTATTCCGCTAGGAAACTGAAAAATTAAAACAAGTTTATTGTTCGAAAATCAAAATCAGAGCGTGACCAAGTTTCAAAAGTTTTCCTGGAAAAAACAAAAAATCATCACGACTTATATAAGTCTTCAGTACTTTCATCGACTCTCAAAAACATGCATGACCTCAAAGCTCTTTGAGCTTGTGATTGAATTTTTTTTATGAAAAAAAAAATTGTGATTGACTTTTTTCTGATGAAAAACCCATTTTGAAAAAACTGGATCAATAAGTAAGTTTTTCCTGAAAAAAATCTTCACAAGCTATTTAACAGTATTTCCTACGTTCATTATGATCCTGGGTAAAATATCTTTTTAAATTTGAGCTCAGGAGATCCTTACCTCTCAGACGATTTAAAAATCCCGTTAAAAATGGCTGGCAAAAAAGTCGAAATTTGTCTGGAGGAAGAAACACCGCGAGCACAAATATACCTTGAGAGTCGGAACAATAACAATCGTTTTAATTGAAAAATAGGTAATCTTCAACAAGACTATAATTAACGAATAAAAATCCAATCAAGTCTATTATACCACGACTCCAAACTATATCGACTTAATACCGTATTCCAACATAACTACATCCCGTATTTTCACATCATTTTAGAGTTCAAATTTAGTCTGTAGAAAATAAAGTTATTGCATCTTCAAATAGGCTAACTTGGAGTAAAACAGAAAACTAGCTCATCAAAAAATTCAACACATCAATTGAACATCAATCGAGTCAATGTAAACACAAGTCCATTATTGCATTCATGTCTCATTCTAATTCTATGATGTTGAACTCTTTCGGTCTCATTGGAGGAGGGGGGAAGTAAGGGTTGCTCTGGACTGTCTCGTACGACTCGTTCGGTGCTCCCGGTCTTGCCGGGGGAGGAGGAATTGCCGTTGATCCCATTGCCGAGTAGGTATCTCTGTGCTGTAACTGCTGTTGCGGATGATTCATCAAACCTCTACGGGGATCGAATCCATATGACTGAAGAAAAAACAACTAGTCAACTTACGCTAGAAAAAATTGCTAGCCAATAGACCTGTCCAACACAAACTTGTTCGTAAAAATGACGGAAATTGCTATGGAATCACAGCGAGCCCCATATAGATAAACTTAAATGGAATGTATCGGGAACGCTGTTATTGAACTCTACTAATACTTTGACTAGGAGATATATCTCACAGTGTAAGGATTGAAAGAGGGTGCATTTGGGTTAAGTTTGGGTCTCCCGTATGAGTCCACAGAGTGTCCGGCTGGCGAGTTAGTAGCTGGCATTGCGTCGTTCAAAAAAGTCGGCATCAAGGGGTGGTTGTTTGGCCCAGCCGACGATCCTATTCCTCGATTTGACGATCCAACACCTATTGCCATATGTGGGTTCACAAGTGGAGGATTGAGAAATGCGCGAGACTGGGAGTTCGAGTGAGGGTTAGAAACTATCTTTGAGTAGGGCTCCTCCTCTCCGTATCCCGCATACCTTGCAGCTGAGTTCATCTGAGTCATCGATCTAAGCAAACGAACATTCAAAAAATGTATATTAAAAAAACGTCGCTTCGCCAGTCCATTCAAAATATCAACAGCAAGTTATGCGTATTTTGGTGGTTTCGTTATCATGCGCCACTTAAAATAATTTTTCTGAAATATTTCAACGATTACCTTTTCCGTGTTTCGGGAAAATGTCGATCTGTATTGGATTGCGGATGGGCTGAACTGCTTCTTAATGCTTCGCTAGTCGCCACAAGAGGCGGCGAGGGAAAAGGAGAATTGTTTTTTGGATTATGCATTCCACCACCACTGTTTGGGTTGCTATCCGCTGGCGAAGCCGATGAAAGTGAAATAGCAGAAACGGGCCTTGCAGGCGGAATTTGTTTTGCCAGGGGTTCGTCATCCTCTGAATCTGAACAGAGATCAACAACTTCCGGAGGTTCTGCATGTTCTTCCTCCTGTGGCGTGGTCGCTGAGCTCTCAGTATTCTTACTGTTACAAGTCTCTTTCGGGTCAGTAACGGAAGGAGCTTTTGAAACATTAATGCTCGTCTTTTTCTGCGGTTCAACTGGAGTGCAATTGTTTCTTGAGTGTCCGGGCGAGTCCTCGACTTTGACTGGAGATGTGAGATCGGTGCCTGGAGCAGGCGTCATCGAAACAGTTTTGGAACTTTGAGGGGTCCCAATAGTCTGAAACTGTCGTTTGTCTCCGTCAATTGGCTCCCAGGAACCATTGTCATAACAGTAAATTTCTGTGCACTCGTAGGTAGAAGAGTCCAAAACTTCGAGAAAATACCTTAAAAATAACTAATAAACGAACCGAAAACAAAATGATGTCAAGACTGCCCGTAAACCAGGGCAAAACCCGGAATTTTCTGACAGTCTTTTAATTGATCTCCAATATTCTTTGCCAAAGAAAACAATTTGAGGTAAAGAAATAAACATCCAAACAAGGATAGCCGGTTGATGTTCAAGTAGCCAGATATTTTTTTTTGCAATTGTAATGTTTTTTTTTGTTCATTCGATGGTAAGAGTAGAATTCGCATATTGACAACGATTTTAATCAAAAAGTTTACTGAAAAACAAAATGAAAAAAAAGTGCAAAAAACTAAGATTCTACGTCTTATTTGCGGGTAAGAAGCCTGCTCGCTCGCTTTATTCCCTCTAAATTAGACCAAAAATTTTATACTGGTTTTTCACAGCACTGCAGAGATTTTTGGAAAACTTTCAATAGGGTTCAAATCGCGACTGCAAGTGCTTTATTATGATATCACTCGACCCCTTCCAATTCTTATTTGTGGTACCCAATTTTGCGTGGAAAACAAAAACACCAGAATACAAAGTTCGTCCCCAGCTTCAGCGGTTGGAACACAATAAAGATAATGTATAGATTTGCAGGCAAAAGAATGCATCAACATACCCATCCAGCATTAGTTCAGAAAACGGTGCTTCTTTTCCACAAACGGGACATTGCCAAGCAGGTCGCCTGAAATGTAGAAAATATGAGTCACCTTCATCTTCAACACGAAAAAAAACGAGTACGTTTCAAACAAAAATCAGTGTACTTTTCATTCATCTTGACGTAAAATTGTGCATCGAAGCACTGCACGTGTGAGCACTGTTTGCTCCTCACTGGCATCGTCATTCTACACACTCCCAGAGGACAGTTGAGAGATGCCCTTAGAGTGGTCATTGCAATTTCACTGTCAGGGTCTATCTTCAACTTGTCCTTGACTGAAAACGGACAAACGCGCATGAAAGTAGATCTCCAAGGAAATACAAAGAGAAAAATGAACAAGACTGTGTAACCTTCCAGATGATTAACAACTCATTTTTCATTTCTGTTTTGGATTCCACTGCTAACATTGTGAGTGCGTGATCGACCACACTCTTGCTTAGTAATAGACCTATTTTTCGCATATAGTTTTGGACTTTATCTTACTTGTACAATTTCACAGAGATTATCATACAAAAAATGCATAACTGAGAAGCTTACTGAGAGCTCTTGTATGATCCGCACTTCTCGGTCCCTTGGCCTTCAGTCGCTTCAGCAACTCAGCCGAGTCGTTCTCCTTAACCAGAAACACAGAGCAAACCCAAGTTCTCGCGAACTCTGTCGTCCACTGGATCTGTACGTGGTTCACTTGGTGGTCAAACTTGATGAACTTAGTGACGTTCAGGGGCTTTGGGCTCCTCTTTGGAGGCTGACCTGCTTTGCTCTGTGGCAACACCGGCTGGAAAAAGGATCTTTCATGCAAAATCAGTTGAACAGGTGAAAATCCGATGCAAGTTCACTTGCTCGTTGACGTTTTTAAGATCTCCATTTCATGTCCAGAAATTGACAATTGCACAGCGACAAAAAAAATTAAAATCCATAAATTTAAGAAAATACTGAAATGTGGAGAAACGCCAGATATTTAACTTAATTGGAAACTTTAGTTTGAAAAAAGATACAAGCAAACTATTTTTTATTTTCATAAATTCTAATTCCTGAAAAAAAGAGTTGGTGGAAGAGAAACAAGCGTTTAAATTGCATACAAAATATTAGAATCGAACAACTCCTATTTTGGTAGCAACATACGATTAATGTCTTCGAGCACTTCGAAACTTACTGGTAGGTCCACTGCTTTTCCATTGACTCTCACATTAATGTAGGGCGGGTAGTTGTCCAATTGCGCACACGAAGTTTCCATCAGACAAAATCGCATCTGCACCTGCACTTGGTGCGTCTTATCCACTATGGACCCATTCTGTCCATGGACATTCACCCGAGGCGACTTCTGGATCTGGTCCAGATGATGCGCTGACAGCGTGAAGTTGAAGTATGCGTCTTGATATGTGGAGTTGACGTTGTGTGGGGCTAAATAGCGTTAAAAATGCAAACTCAGTGCAGATTTCAATATCGATGCCATTTCCCAAAGCTGGTGCTTTCTGAGAAACGCTCAACATTGATGACATTGAACACTCACTTAGACATAGAGGTTTGAAAATGGTGTCCATCAGGTCGAAAAAAGGGATGACCTTGAACTTGACATCTGGATGTTCTGCGCCAGGTGGTGGCACTGTCATTTGATGTGACTGAGGTGGAGCAGGCTGCCGTTTCAAGTTCGTAGACTGGAACTGGCTCGAATTCATGTGGTCTGGTGGTCGGTATGATGCAGTTGGTGGTTTGGGTATCTGGATATTGGCTAAATTGTGCGCATTTCTGTTGTTCTCTGGTCGAGAGGGCGGAGCAGGCATCGGATGATTCGGGAAGCTAAACCATATAAGACATAGCCAACAGACAAATGGAAAAGTGCCAATAAACTCAAGGAGACCACAGCAAAATGACTCATCTCCCCAGTTTCAAAAGATATATCACATAAAAGACCTTTCAACTGTCAGAACCTTCCATGATTGACACTTTTTTGCAAAAGTTAATCCATATTGAAAAAACTAGATCCATAGGCAAATTATTTATTCTGCTAGGAATTCAAAAAATTGGAATTTTTTTTTTATGAAACGAAAAGTAATTCACGCTTTAACGCCATTTGAACTTTCGTAATTGGAGTGCGGCAATTAGTCTCCGTCCAGCAAAAGAATTTGTCTTGAACTTACAAAAAAATTTAAGTCAATCCGGGAAAAAACTCGAGCGTGAACAAATTTAAGCACTTCCTGAAAACAACCGACCTAATAAAAGTGTCTTCACATCGTTCATTGACTTTTAATAAGGGTTTTTTGGCTTGATTTAGCACTTTAAAACAACCACAAAAAATCACAAACAATCAGCACAAAAAGCGAAAAAAATCAGGATGGAGAATAATTTTTGGACAGAATAAATACTGAAGAAAAGAACACTAATACATCCCTGTATCAAATACTGACCTTGTTTGTCGGTTCGCATAACTAAAATATGAATACATCGTAGTTGTAATTCAATTCAGACAGAGCAATAAGAAACCAAATAAAACAATCATTAGCTGCTGCCAAGTCAAATATTGGGCGCAAAAGATATACTGACATTAAATCATACTACTAGCTTGACATATCAAATGCAAAATCAAAGGTTTCCTCGAAAACGCAGTCATTCTTACTGTCGATTATTTCAGCTCAACATTTCAGGTCTGACAAAAACTTTCAAGTAAAACCTCAGAATCGTTTTTAAAATCTTGATTAATATGCTTTATCCCATAACGAAACTGAGAAAAATGCTCTTCACCAACAGCATGATTCTTCAGCTTCTACCACACTGAATTGATAGACGTGATCTCTCGGTACAACTTGAGAGAAATTTGAAAACTTGTAAAAGGGTACAAACCCCAAAAAAGAAAACAAATAAAAGAAGTCGTAACGCAACTCAACAAAAAACCTCAAATTAAACTAAGCGAAAAACAGTGAAACAATTTACACAATCCGAGCTTCATTCACAAGACATAAAGACACACAGGTATTGAAAATTAAACAGTGTTTAATTTGCCTATTTTTTTTTAGTCTAAACTCGCAATTTTTTTAATCATTTAGTAGCAAGAAGCTATATTCTAAAAAGACGAAAACCCCAAAATTTTCGGTATACTATTACAATGAATGGCCAAAATTCTAAAGAAGCCTTGTTGATTCTTTAATTGATAAAAACTAACAAAGTTCCTGAAAACCTGTCATCTTATCATCAATTGGCTAACCTACGTTCGTTTTATAAGCAAGATTTTAAAAATTCTCATACTGTATTTAAACGACAATGCAGAAACCGACATTACGAGGGGCGGATTGAAACAAAAACTGGCAAAAACATTGAAATATTTATCATAACAAAAACGAAATTAACCTAAATTGAATCTTGAATTTTAGCGACACAAATCAGTCAATAACTTTGTATTTTTTAGTTTCTACTGTGAAAGTAAATTAGCGCCAAATTGAGAGTCGATTCTCTTTCATAATGGAACGGAGGCAGGTTTTTAGGATTTTTCATGCTAGAAAAAACGCTCAACAGAACAGTTCGTCTCGGCGAGGATAGCATTGATGCTGAGCAAGAACTAGCATTGATGCTTTGTGATACTCTCAGGGCAGCTGTGAAGATTTCTCGCGTATCATTGAACAAGGGGAAGAGCCACATGTAATTTCAAGCTTGCAACTCGCTGTGTAAACCACTATTTACCTAATTTTTCGAGGCTAACACTGCCTTCATTATCAGGTGATTTTTTAAAGAGTTGGTGCCACCTGTGGATGTGGTCCACCGACCGTGGTAGTTCAAGAAAAGGGCTTAAAGTGCACTGCTGGTATTTTTGGTTGCCTCAAGCAGGTGTTTCAGTCACCAGGGAAAGTAGGAACTCTGACCTTATCGTGCCAGACGAATAAGCATTCGCATGCATAAGCAGTCGCATGCATAGCATGTCGTCTATTGTAATTTCAACGAAAAGCTAGAGCTGGATCAAACTAAGTACGGCATCATCTTGTTCGACATATCTGCATAGATTTTGCAGCAGGCTGCTGCTCCTTATGATTACCTAGACTCAAAATTAACAGATGCTGACCCAACACGTGATCATTACCCGGGCTCTAAATTGCAGATGAGCCTTTTTTGTGATACCTGAGTTTCCGCGGGAAAAAAAAATTAGCACACAACCGAAACCAAACCTTGATTGCATAATTAAAATTTCATTATCCGAGAAAAATGAAACGAAAAAAATTCGTGATGAAAATAGTCGGCTAAAAACATAAATCAAAGGATAGCCGGTTACTGTGCAAGTAGCACAGAATGTTCCGACCATAATCTTAAGCACAGAGGCGAAGCGAAGCTTCTCATCACTTGGGTTTCCACAAAAATAGCATTGCAAGCTACCAGACAGGAAGGAAAAGGAGAGCCACTAAGTCCAGAGAAAACAGAAAAATTTTCGAAGCAACCACAATTAAAACAAACCAAAACGTGGTCTGGAATGATGTTTTATTTCTGGAAAACACGTCCAGACACACATTCGACGGCATTTAATGAAAATTATTTTTTGGAATCAACAAATTGGAATCACTAATGGACAAACTTTGCAGAACCAAAGAGCGTTTTCTTGCAGGGAGCTCTAGAAGCACAAAATTCTTGTACAAGGTCTGTTAAGCGACCAATTTTCACCTGCCACTCTGCTTTTGTTAGACGCCTCTGAGCCACTTTCATCACCGAACTAAAATCTTTTCTTTACGAACAGTTTTCGCTATGGGACAATGCAAGAACATAGTGCTTTCATTGCTTTGCAAAGGCGGATTCTGAAGACTAAGAATTGAAAGATAACTTCAACTCTCTTCCAAGTCCCTCGAAGCCAATCGTTGCATTTTGTCTCCAAAAAGCAAAAAAGAAAGACATTACTACCTCCTCGACTGTAGAGCACATTACAGAAAAGTGATCACAGATTTTTATTATCAGTGAAAACATCGTTGATACATCGTTTAGCTGCTGAACACGAAATTCGATCAAGTCCATGTAAAACGAAAATGAGTTGGAAAACACACCACCATCTGTTTATAAAGACCGTCATAATGAATATTGAAATCACCAGAAAAAAAGTCGAAACGAGAGATAATACATAAATGAAACAAGGATAGCCGGTTACTGTGCAAGTTTAGTTCTACACTGAATTTTCAAGTTTTTGATTCCCAAAATGGCTTTCAGTATCTCCAAAAACTAATTTTACACGAGTAAAACTAAAATTAATCATAAATAAGCTTTTGTAAACGGTTTAAAATAAGATGAAATCATCCATCCTTTTTCCTGACATTCAAATTGGTGGTCCTTATATATCTTTTATATTTTGGTTTGAAGTCAACTCTAAATGAGAAAACAATACTCAAAACCATCGAGAAGTTCTTTGTAGAGATCTAATATTACATAGTCGACAGTTGCCACATTGCAGGTTTCAGCTATTTAATCAGTCTTTCTTTTGTTTTCAATCACGCCTCAATAACAACTATCAGAATACCACTCTTTCGGGTCAGATTTTGCTTCTTCCCAGTCTCAACTGAAGTTGAGGCAGCCTTTAAATGCAAATGAGGGTTTGTAGCGAAACAATTCCAATTTTTGTAGCGATAAATGCGACTATTTGCAAGAAACGCCCTAGAAAGATGTAGATTGAAGAAACACCACTAGATTGTAGATTTCGGTTATAGCGCTTGCCTTATCCAAGAATTGATATATCAGATCATATACAATTTCGATATTATACAACTTTATCACAAAAATTAAGCAATAGTGACATTTTAAAAACTCTTTCAGCAAACTCGCAACGAGATTAGAGAAGCTAAAAAAGAAGCTCAAAAAACCAAAGGAGTTATTCTGATAGACTGTACCGAAAGTGTTTATTGTAAGTTTTTTACAGGAAAAAAAAGTTTTGTCTTGTACCTTATTCGATAACACACACCTTTACGAATCAAAGTAAACACACCTTATTAATCCATGGGAATCCATATCACTGTGGCATCACTGTTGATGATAACCAGATTCAAACGGTTTGGCAAATAACAAACGGAAATATTTTTATAGTTATTATTGATGTCTTACTATCAGTCTGATGATTACCATCGATAACATAGGCAGTAAATTTAAGGGTTGATTTAATCATACTGGCAGGTAGAGCAACAATTCGACAAATTTAATAAGGGTTCATTAGTTAGTACCTACGTGAAACGTTGCGTATCGAACGCTGCTTAAGGTATCTTTATCGTGGTTAGTTTCTATGCGACGAAATGTCGCGTTTTAAAAAGCTACCAATGGTCGCCTCACAATACTGACCATATCTTGTATAGCTCCATGATCTTCTTCTCCACATGAGTGGGCACTGGGTCTCTGATTAAATTGTAGATGCGGGAGAGTAACTCTGTCTTCTTCCCATTCCTCGACACCCCAGCTACTGTACACACTGTAACTAACTCACTCACTCTAAAGTTGTCTACGATAGCCTGAAACCAACAACAAAACCCTTTTTCGTGCTCACTTGCGAGCATTAGTAAAAAAAAATAAACCGTAACTCTACCTGAAACCAAACACGTAAGTATCATTATCTTATAATTTTTAGTGATATCCAGGGGGCGCATTTGGGGGGGGGGGGGGGAAGCGTTGGCTGACTATTTTGAGATATCCATATTTGGCAACGGACCCTAAAAATTTTCTAACAGCGCCTTTGGAGCCAATGTATACTAATTTTGAGGGGGGAGTGCGCGCCGAAAAACCGAGATTTTTTGGTCAATTTTTTTTCCAAAAAGAGGCTAAAAACGCCTTTTTTGGCCTGTTTTTTTTTCAGTGGAAAAAAGGTAGACAAAACTTTTTTTTAGAAAATCCTCCCCCCCCCCCCCCCGAGCAAATCCTAGATCCGCCCTGGTGATATCACAGCATTTAACACTTCGGTTCGCTTTTATAAAAAAAACTTGCGCAATGATCTTTTAGCTTTCGTTGGCACATTAGTTTCCTGTCAGCAAGTTAAATATCATTAGAACGAATAACTACCAACACGCGAACAAAACGGCCGAGTCAGATCTAGTTATAAGTTTCTAGTATTAAAATTGGGATATTCGTTACTATGTTCATAGAGAGGCCATGTGTGACCATAACATCATTCTTGGTGAGAGGGCTGGTATCATACTGGAGAATTTTAACTAGATCAGCTCTGTTTTAGCCAAATACAAACCTTCAAATCTGTCCGTATTGCATTGCTTCGTGACATTTCGAAATCTGAAATAACTAAGGATGAACACCATGCCCCTGCGGGCTTCTGTTGAATATCTATTTAATGTTAGAATCAGAGCAATTTAAGTGCATTAAAAGTGTCTCGCATTTATTGATAGTAGCGATTTTACGTTTGGTAATGCTTAATACTGAAGCTTTCTTCAGGTGTAATTTTTCCTATATTTTCTTAAGAAAGATGAGAAATTATAGTCTTTGCTGTCTTTGAAGATAGCTTTTACCCCCCCCCCCCTCAAAAAATCCTAGATCCGCCCCTAAACGATTATTGCCGTGGAATTTTCGACAATCAATTTTCGAATTGAAGTTGGAACAATCAATTCTTTGCCTTGGCACGAACAGATTGATTTGATTTTTGATACAAGCCAAAACTCCGCCAAAATTATCTTCTGAAAATTATTCTAAGTTACATTAAATTGAAGGTCGAGTTGAGGCAGCGCGGCCATGAGGACAGATTGTCGACTTTGAATCATCAAACGAAGCAAAAGAAAGATTTAACCCCAAACACGTGGAATTGAATGGAGGGATTGAATGATTTTTGGATACTGATTAATTTTCCACTTCACAAACAGAAAAGCAACACAATTTGTCCAAATTGGGAACTTTCAAGACCACAAATTTTTTTAAAATCACAAAAAAAGAATATTGTTAATTTTTAAAACAGAAACGAACTAATCATTCAGAAGCCTTTCCGAAAACTATTACCAAAACTATGGTTCGAAACTGAAAATGATAAAAAAAGACTATGGCTGAAAATTTAGCCACATATCGTACGTTTCATGTCCTTGACCAGAAACCAAGACCTTAACTTTGTATGTTCTTATTGTTACTACGTTTGTTACTTTATGTTCTTATTGAAACAGTACTACATAATTTCAAAATTTTTGCAGTCAGGCCAAAAACCAGGTTTGCACGAATTCACAAATATGTTATCACGCAAACCATCGAACCAAACAAAACAGGCAGGCAAGTTCAAACAATCTTCCCCTCAATTCTTGAACCAACAAAATCTGCTTTCACTTTTCAAATCCCTTGTCGATAAACCGCTTTATCTTTTCACGTCACCAAACACACCCCGCCCTAGTCGATCATGGGAGGTGATCTTGCAAGTTAACCTCCCTTGACAAGAGCGTTAACAATATGTCAAAGTAGGGGTTCATAGCCGCAACAATAATATCAAAAGAAGATTCCTAGAATCAAGCATCACATGCAACTAAGCTAATGAAATCATCGCATAAGATTGTTTGACCGAAGATAATCTTTTTGGCGCTAGATCCATATGGTTCTTTAAGTCAGATCTCTCCAGTTTTTAACGAGGGAGCGTTGGCGAAGTAACTAAGTTTCCGCCTCTCAACGGAAAACTTAGGGCCCACCATGATTTGTACTACCCGAAACATAAAAAAATGCTTATAAACCTTAACCAGTTCACAATACCGATTCAGCGTGAAGAGCCCATCAGCTCGTATGTTAGTCATTTCCCGTGTCGATAAATCGCCGTAATCTAGAGGTCCTTTATCTAAACAATGACCAAACTCTTTATCTATATCAGATATTTACACAAAACATGCATAATCAGCCCTAAACTCATTCTCAATTAGATTCTATTCAATATCAAAAAAAAAGCCGAGAACAAAGTATTAACCAAAACAAAAACTAACCTACTAAACAATCAATTTTGGATTTGAATTATGTTTTAAAATTGATCTTATACCAAAAAGATTGTGGGGAGAAGGACGTTCAGACATGCGAAAAATTCATTAACAAAACTTGGAAATCAAAATTTGATAAATTCACACGGCTGGGGTGTATCAAAACAGCCACCTATAACTTTATTCTTCCTAAAAACAAAGGCTCTCAACAGGCGACGCCAAGCTTCGCATTACTTGCGAGATAAAAAAAACATGCCAAAATGGAAAAGAAAAATCTATAAAACTTTATAAAAAATCTGCTTAAATGCCATAAATTTCATAAAACAAAAAACTTCCTAAATTCTTGAGCTTTTTAAAACTGAATTTTTTTGGGTTCAACTATACAATTACTAAACGCAAAAAATGGAAGGAAAAACCTGAAATTCGTTTAGAAAATACTCGGCTACAAATAAAAACAAAGATAGCCGGTTACTGTGCAAGTGGTACAGCATTTTCCGACCCGTCTAAAAAAAATACAGCAAAATACTCGAGTAAAACTAAGACTTTACGGCTTAAATCAGGGTATTGTAAGCTTTTAAGCTAATAAAATCAGCTATTGTAAATCCTGCTAGCTCGAAATTATACGAAAAGAAAAATTCAAATAGTTTTTTCACGACACTGGGAAAATTTGATGGACATTTTTTTATGTCAATCGAATTACGACTCAAAGGGCTTTCATATGATATATCACTCAACTCACTCCAATTATTTGTGATAGCTGATTTTTTTTGCCAAATGTTTTTGCAGAAAATGTTAAGGTTCCCAAAAAAGCGCTAACAACTAATTTTATTGGCTTAAAACTAAATTAACAGGGCTTAAATTAAGCATAAATAAGCTGTTCTAAGCCTGCTCTTTCGCTTTATTCGCTCGAAATTGAAACGAAAATCAACAATTTTAAACCAGTTTATCTCAACACTGAATACACAATTTCAAATCACGACTAAAAGGGCTCCAATTTGATAGACCACTCGACTCATTCCGATTATTATTCGTGGTACCTGATTTTGCGAAAAACAACAAGGAAAAAAGCTAAAACACACCCGAATACAAGCTTCCTCCACATTTGTTAAATGGAGGAAACAAAAAAACGCCCGAATACAAAATGTCTCCTCATTTTTTAAATGGTCCGAACAAAAAATCCCTTAAATTTAACTACAATTAATTATTTAATGTTTCGACTGTCACGAAGCTTTATCAGATAAAACTAATTAAATAATCACAGGCAATTCAATTTTGCTTATACGAAATGAACGATACGAAAATAAACGAAATCGACTAAAAAACGAAAACAAATTCTGAAACAAACAACCAAAGGACAGCAGCAAAAGCATCAATGAACAAGAATTTATTGGGCTTTCTTGCACTCCCCCTACCTTTGAATTTCAGTTTTGAAAAACTATTTCAACATTGTCACAATGCAGTGAAATTTTGCATGATGAACAACTTAATTATTGTGAACTCATTTTTTCGTCATACCGTACATCGTAACATCATGCAATCAGTCATAATAACACTTAGACAACTAAAAAAAATGAAGGAATGAAATGCGGGGAGAGTGGAAAAGAGTGAATGGTTGACTCTTTTGGATAAATATTTAAAGTTTCGAGTTTCAAAATAAAGGTATGTAAATTATGTTTACAAATAGATTTTTTAAATACACTTGAACAGGTCATGTCTGATTATTTAAGTTTCTTAATAAAAAAACTTATTCATGTTAGTTTAATTCTTTGTGGTTTGACTTTTGATTTCTAGTAAATTTATTTGCTAAAAGAAAGACAAAACCACTTGATTAACTGAGTTTCAAGTGGCGTGAAAAAAAGTGAGTGAAGTCTAGATAAAAAATTGATGTTAAATTTCAAAACTCACAGCGGACTGAAAAGAGGGCTCTTTATCCCCCCCCCCCCCCCCCCCACCTCTTATAAGCATCAATTTTATGGTGTAACGCGGGATTTTACAAGGTTAAACATGACGACCAAATATGTTTGTCTTGGCCTAATTAGTTCGCATGCCAATTTTTGTAATATTTCAATAATGTGAACAAAACTTCACTATTAAATTTTTGCAGGTGGGGGAAAAAGAGCCGAAAAGAATATCAATTGATACAACTTACTGAAACTGTGTTCATTTCATTTCTTATATCATCTAAAAGCTCTATTAATTTCATGAAACTTTCATGATTGATATTTCGACTGGATCAATTGATATTTCTCTTATTCCGCTGGGAATTCTGAAAACAAAAGTCAGAGTTTTAAAACTTGAAGTCAATCGCTTTTTTTATCACGTCACTTGAACTTTCGTGAGTCGAGAGCGGATTTTGCTTCGTTTTGCTTGACTTGCGATACAATTCAGGCGTAGCATTACAGGCTGCAGAATAAAAGATGAGATGGAAATAACAATGTCGAAAAAATTCAATTTCAGAAACACATTAGCAAAATAGCCACCAGCAGTATAAAAACTTTTGAAATTTACCGAGCCCTTAAGCCGACAATATATGAAAGACGCCCTTGAGCAGAAAACAAAACAAAGCCATCAGAAACTGTTGTGATAAAAAATAAACTGTAAAACTCATTCAAAAACCGAATTCTTAAACCAACACAGAACAAAGACTGTCAATTGTAGTAAAACCTATTTAAATCAGAAAGAAAATCCAGGCTTTGTATTTCAATCCGGCAAAAAATGCACAGACAACCGCTAGTCCGACAACTCAATTTTTACCCAGAGAAACATATTCCAATTTCCTAACCTAGATTACATACTGAGAAAGATCCGACCATGAATTCGAATCCCAATCCTCAGGGAGCAAAGGCAACTGTGTTACAAATCTAGAACAAGTGAGAATGTGTCTGGAAGTTGCTATGAGTTGAAAACAAGGAAAGATCAATTTCTTAATGATTTATAAGACGTTATTTACTGGAAAAACGTTAAGCCGAAAAAAAATAATGATAAACAACATCTACACACAGATGCCAAGCTGAGTTTTGCACCACTAGCGAAAAAAATGGAAGAAAATATTCGAAAAGGTCGAAAAAACTAGATCTATCAAAATGAATTCAGCTAGTTTTGAAACAAAACATGCCAAGACAATAGAATGTAAAATAAGCGTAGGAAAACAATGTACCCAGCGGTAACAAAGCCAAAATTGCCTTGTCAGAAATCCTTTAAGCCAAAAAAAAATCAAAAAATTTAAGACTAATAAGAAGTTATTAAACCACCCTCACCCTCAAAACACAGACACGCACAAACAAACTTTTTTCGCTCATCGAAAGACGCAATATGAGGGCACTTATCCGATCTAATGTAGGCCGAAACCTACCAAGCTGAAAAAAGGAAGAAAAAAATCGAAAAAGCCGGAAAAAATTGTTGTCATGAAAAACTTGAACTATAATTCTTTTAAGATTTTTAGCATTTTTCGGTTGAACGACTCGAAATTAAGTCACTTAGCGGATAAAAAATAGACCGAAATCATTAGGGCAGAATAAAGTTTTGGACAGTTGGAACACAGTAATGAACGCAAGGAAACCGAAAAAAAGGCAGACTTGTTTTTTCAAAAACTTTCACTTTTGAATGTCGAAGACAAAAACAGAAGGCCTTAAAACTCTTTGAATTTGTAGAACAATTTATGATGGACACATTTTTGTTAAAATTAACCCAATTTGAGAAAACTGGATCAATAGGTAAACTTTTATTTCGCTGGGAAATCTGATAATTAATTTCCATTTTCGAAATTTGAAGTCGATCACGTTTTTCGTGACTTTTACACTTTTGCTGTTAGATAGCGGTGAATGCCTTCCTTTTAACAATGGAAATGCACCGTTCTTAAAAAGAGATCACGTCAAACGGCGAAAAATAAAATTTGAGCCTGAAAAATTTTTTAAAAAAAAACAAAAAAAATCAATTACGTTCATTAGTCTTAAAAAAGAAAATCTATGAAGTCAAGTTTCGTAAAAGTGCAAACAGCAGAGGTAAATCAGCACACTTAAGACTTTTTAAAAAATCAATTCTACAATATGGCAACTAAGCCGACAAAACATAAGCAGATAATAATAAACCAAGAATTTTCTTTGAAACAAACTATTTCTTGTTTGAAAAAAAACAGGCCCTGTCAGAATCGCACCTAGGACCTTTGTTTTACCAGGCTATTCGTTACTTCAAGACCATGTGAGCAGATGACGCACAGAATATTGAATTCATCAAAGGTATTTACGGGAAAAAGCCTAGTACCCGATTGCAATACTTTTGCTTATCATTAAGTTTCTAAGCGTTTTGATAGTTCTCTCGACAGAACACGCACTAAAAACTACACTAATTTGAAAAAAAAACCCCTCTTTATGAAGAAAGATATCAAATTTGACGCAAAAACGAAGCTTCGCTTCGCACACTTGCGAGAACACGACAAAAAGCAGCTCTATTAAGTGCAATAATAAAAATTAGAAATAAGCCTCAAGTAAAAAAAAAATGCGGCTACCTCTGAAATTCAAACCTGCGACATTGAGATTAAGAGAATCACACAATAAGTACTCAGCGACAGAAGCTTACTAGGCAGCAAACACTAGCCAAAAATAAAGCAGAGAACAAATGCTATGCAATTTCCAAAGCTACAGTGAAATTTCCATAAATAACGCTTTTAATGAACACTTTTATTTGACAGCTAGTTTAGAAAAAAAAAAGAGGGTCCGTAATAATACACAAAGATGATCGCCTAAGCTGATCGCCATTACACTAAGCTGATCGCCATTTCATGATAAACCAAGAAGCAGCACCAGCGGTAGGTAAGCATTCAGGATCATTTACCGATTTAACTTAAATTGAATTCGATCAGCCGAAAAAAATTGTAGCCAAAACAATGAGCATCATTGAAAATCATTGTTTTACGCCTCATCCCTTCTGAAATTCATAAAAGCGTAAGAAAACTATTTTCTTTCAAAACTATGCAATATGAGGTAACTACGGTGATAGAATAAGTCGAAACCATTCATCGAAAAAACTCAAAATTAGAGTTGGTAAATTTTTACATTACAGCACAACTTTTTCTATTATAGTAAAAACTGCTGAAGACAGATTAAAAATCCATGTTTTGGAAATTAAGCCAACATACAGCTATTATAGTTGTTATTTGTCAAAAAGATTAAGGCACTCAATATTTAACTGATAAAAATATTGAGCACAAACTTTCCATCCTTTCTTTGAAACTCGGAACGAAAATTAGTAAGCGAGTAATCATACGATGAAAAAATTACTCTATAGAAAATAATATCTTGTATTTCAAAAAAATATATAAATAGGAAGCCAGGACAAAAATTGAGACGAAATCGACAAAACCGAAATAGAAATCCGACATTTTTTTCAATAGGCTTGATTCAAAATGTTTCAGATCATGTCAAATTCCAAATCATATACATAGCACGATAAACTATAGGCTGTAAATAACTTTAATTTTCATAAAACTGAGCATGTCGCGACTTCTTGCAGTAACCACTTTCTCAGAAATCTAAACCAGATCCTTACGGCAAAAAGTCTAGTTGCCGGAGTGCAATCAAAATTATACACAACATTCATGACCTCAAATATTTAACAAAACTAATGATTATAAAATCTCATAACAATTTTCTGAAGCTTGCCTGAAACGGAGGTTGTTTCAAAAATTTTATTGACAATATTTTAAATTTGCAAAATATTAAAATTTTATTTTACGACAATAAAATCACAAAAAAATGATAAGGAGAAATGAAATATTGCCAAAGAGCAAAAAATAAATAACTTCAGCAGCTCATAATATATTGTATCAAAATCTGTTGGTTATTGTACATCATACACTTACTCGTAAATCTAACTACTAACACTGCAAATGTCGTTAAAATCACAGCAGAAACAAAATGGCGTTACAAAAATCGTGTTTCATCTTTTAAAAGCCGATTGACTCACTTCATCGGAAGATATTTTAACAAGAATGAGTCAGCCATTTGATGGCGACTGAAATTAACTATTAGAAAAAGTAAATGAAAACTAATTATTACACTGGAAGAAAAAAAATGATACAAAAGTTTGAAGTGGGGATGTCCAATAAACAGAGAAAAATAGATAACGACGGCCAACTTGCGTTGTTTGTACCCCGTAATGCTGTGATGCCTCTCAAAAGAACACGGAAACACAAGACCAGTCATGTAAAGAAGCCACGCCTTGACTTGTCTCTAGGATGGTGCTCATTAGAAGCCATTAAATCTTCGTCAACCGTAAAATTCGGATCCTTCGTCTGGTTTCTCAAACTGTTTCGCTTCTTCTTGCATGCTCTCTTTGATTTTTAGGATAGCAGCTGACTCCATTGTATCCTAAAATACGAAAACAATCAAAGCAACAAAAACGTTTCATCTTAACTAATCGAGGGAAAATAAGGGGAAAATAACAGATGATATTTTTTCATAAAGTCAGCAAATTCTGCAGAAAAAGGTTACTTTGAAAAGAACAACAATTTTCCATAATTATTGGTACTTGGGTTCTACGGAAATGTGATGTTAAAAACCAACCCCTGGTCCGGGACCCGATGTCGGTTCCGAAGAAACTGAAGTTTGTGAATGCAGTGGGGTCGAAGGAGCCTGGCTCTGCTGCATAGGTTCACTAGAATTTGCACTTCCTGCCGACGCTCCAGGCAGTGAAAATCCAGGACCAGGAGGACCCGATGACGGAGGCCTGTTTCCACCACCCGATGCAGAGTTTCCGCTAGGCGGTGGTGGAGGACCTCGCTGCATTACTGAAAACGGATCGTTCTGTGGGCCGTTCTGGGAACTCGGACCTCCACTTCCATCCATACTTTGTGGACTTGGTTGCATGATACTACCTGGAGTTCCGGGACCTCCGTTAGGACCAGGACTCATGCGCGAATTAACGGACCATGGCCTTGGAGACCTAAAAAGCAAAAGTTTTAGATCTGAAGTGAATCCAATCTGATAATCCACTAAGCCTCGTCCGCTATTACGGCTACTAACATTCTATTGACTCCGCCCATAGGATTTGGTGCTGAGGCACCGGAAGGTGGTGCCGAAGGGGGCATGTTCTGTGGGGGAGGACGCATGAACTGCGGACTAAGCATTGCGTTGGCCACTGGGGTTGTAGCTCCGGAGACAGAGGTACCACCTCGTGAATTTACTGGTGCGACTGGCGAGGGCATTCGAGGAGACATGGCCGCGATAGAACCATGAGGTCCAATCATTTCTGAACAAATTTACAATTGACTCATGAGTGCATTTCATAAAGTATTATAGCAATGTCTACTCAAGAACTCTCAACTAACCCGGTCTAGAAGGGTCCATCATATGTTGGGTTACCTATAACATGGGGGAAAATACATCATCACCCACTATCATAGCATAAAATTGAAAGTTATGGAAACAACGCTTCAAAAATGACAGACACAGATTTTCATAAGATTACGACAGCAAGGAGCCAAAAACAAGTGAGTCTCTCGATTTAGATTTTCTAACCATAGAAGGTGACATGTTTCTAAGTGGAGCAGGACGAGGTCCGAATGGCCGAGGTCCGAAGTGGGGCGATGAGTAAAACATTGGATGTGGACCTGTGACCGGGATACCGTCAGGGCCTGCTCCTCCTGGCATTGGCATCATATTAGGCGGAGGTGGTCCGTTTCCGGGGTTGAGGGAGTGCTGCTGAACAAATTCGAAGGTCACGCAAAGGCTAAACTTTGTCACAGAAGACATGAAATTAGATTGCTTACATAATCATGGAATGCTTTGGCTTCTGGGCTGTGATCACAAGAGTCTCTTCTCTCAGGAGCTGCACAGTAGAGATCCCAGAACACGCTATAAATCAAGCACATTTTTGTAGTATGTTCAAAGAAGGCTTTTCTGCCTGGTTTCACCGTCATTGCAGCGAATGGAGCAAACTTAACCGATACTGAGCGTTCGAATAATTTCACTAGGCTCAAACATAAGGTCGGGCCATATCAACACAACACGTGCAACAGCAAACAACATCGCCGCATTCTGCCGAAATTTTGAATAGATGCCTGATTATGCTATTGACGATTTTATCCTATCAGGCAAAACTTCGACTGACTCACGCATAAGAGAGCTCGAAAAAGCAATTCAAATAGCTGGAAAAATTAAGGCTTTCAACTGGGCCAAAAAAAATCCCGGGCGAACAAAAGTAATTAGTTCCCCTGTGGGACTCACCTCCACCAGCAATGCAGAAATCCAGGAGGCTCGCCGAGAGTTATGTTCTTCTCCCATCGTATCTAAATCGAAGAAAACACTTCAGATTATATTTTGTTTACTTACTAGTTTAACTTACTATATGTAGTCTCGATATCTTACCTCACTTAAAAACGTCTGTGCAGCTTGTTGGGCCCCCACGTGCAGCAGGTACTCGTACACATACAACGCCAGTCTAAAATACAGAATTAGAAAATTTACTCGGTTAGGTTTAGTGTTTCACCAAACGATTTTAGATCGTCATTATACGAATAGCTCTTAAACAACTGATTTTGGCATAATTCCACTCAAATGAGAATTTTTTTTGTTTGAAATGCACACATTCAAATTGTTTTTGGCAATTTTTTTAAAGTATTTTTTCGAAAAAAAGTTAAAAGAAAGTTGTAAGATAGCTAAATTCCTTACAAATCTTAAAAACGTTTTAAGCTAGGGTAATTTTTGTCAAACCGGAATGATCAAACCGGGTATGCTGAAGCATTTAAAAAACTAAGGCGGTTTCTTTTGCTTTGACTTCTGAGCCCATATATTTTAAAGTATTCTACCTAGAACCTCCTATATCACTTTCAAAAGCATAGACAGATCTTTGAAATGATCTTCAGAACTCTCTCAGATACTCGAATCCCAAAGAGCATCTCCTTCAGTTCTATTTTTCTGTCTCCATTCAAGGTAGATTAGAACATCATAAAGACGCCTTCGAATGTATCGGTTATTCATGCCATGTGCTTACTTCTCCTTGGCTTGACTGTCTGAAGGGACTGTGTTGGAGTTCTTCCCCTTGTTGTTAAACATGCTTCTCATCTACAATTAGCCCAGTCCACTGACGCAGTAAACTTGATTTTATACCCTGATGAACTTTTCTAGATTAATCACCAATCCACCAAACTCAAGGTCCATCCCATCTGAAACATACATAACTAATATTGTCAGGATTTTCATCACCAACCTCATCAGGATTTTGAAATAAGACTCGACAAAGGATTTGTTATCCGGTCGTCTTTACAATCCGCTATGACGATTTCTGAGCAACTCAGTACCAACGCCATATTTACGCAAACCATTTATGAGCATCATAAACTATATCCAATTATATAAAAGACTGAATTGTACTGCTCATGGGCTTTCTGATTCACGAGGAAGCAAATGTTCCCAAAAAAAGACCGATTTTCACGCGTATTTTGTTCAAATAACGATCAGCTAACACAATTTTCGGGTATTAAGTCTTTTGAACTTCCATGCTCTCAGGGATTTTCTTTCCTGCTGATATAGCGACATCGAAAAGAAACTAATTCTTGAAACATTGCAAGGTACATATTAAATTTCAGAAAACTTTGTAGTGACTACAAATACAAGTTATCAAACTGTTTCGAATATCTGGCAGAAAAATTATCAACCGTTTTCGACCACAAAATTGAATCGTTCTTCTTCGCGAACTTCTGTAAACACTCACTAACAAGCTGTTTACAAAACAGGAACGACGGTTTATGCAAGATGTACGCATTGGCTGAAATCGAACATTCAGAGTCCGCGGCAAAAATTGTCAAGAAAGCGGCAGATAATCCCTCCATGAAATTACTATCGATATCACAACTTCTGTCGTTTTTCAAAAGTGAAGATTTTATTTCCCCCTCTTCCAAACAGAAGTGCTCAATGAAAGGTTCTTCAACTCTTTGGTTCTCAGCACATTTCACAATATTGAAACATTTTACGCCTTGTAAACACTCAATCAGATCAATTGCCAATTCAGAAGCTGCTTCTCCCGGGATTTCTTTTTCAGACACCATAAACAACTGTTTTGACTGGCGACTGAAATTGATATGAAGGTTATAAACAGCGGAAAATTTCTCAGAAGTCAATCGCAGAACAATTTCACCCAAATGTATCAAATCACTCTCTCTAGTAGATTTGATGGACTCTGCTAGACATTGAAAGAAAACACTGGGCTCCGGTCCTAGACACAAGAAAACCTCAGCCTCATGAGAGACTGATTTCAAAGTGGCTCCCAAACCATCCGAGTATGATATGTCTATATTGCAGTCGTCGTCAGAGACACCTGGCACTCGGGAGGTCGCGAAATTTATCTCTCCGAACATTATTTCTGAAACTCAATGTTTAAATAGTTCAATAAATTGGATGAAATCTTTGGAAAAAAATTCATTGCTATGACAATTTGAAGCGCGTTGAAGAAATATTTGGGGTATTCTACTCACCATTATTGCATTAAGAGATAGTTTTAAAATTTTACAGCAACTAGAGCAAAAATTGAGGCAGAATGCAACCATAGCTTCGAATGGATAACCACTAAAAAGATGTACGCAGAAGAACAAAATCAATTTCAAAGCTAACAAAGATAGCAGCTTGCTGTGTCAGCAGCACAAAATGTTTCCACCACAACAAATGAGTTAAAGAATTCAAAGGCCTTAAAAAACGATAACAAAATACATAACTGTTTCTCAAATTTCAAAAATGGCCGACAGACAGTTGGAAAAGAGTTAAAGAACGAGAATAAACAGAAAAAAAAACACATAATTTTTGGAAAAACATCAACTTTCGAAATTCCAAAAATAAAAAGATGCCCTAAACTGTCTTCGCAACTTTTTGATAAAATTAAACCAATTTCAGAAAACTTGATCAATAATTTAAATTATTAAGAAAACTGTCTGAGAAAATTGATGAAATAGACGACATACAAGTTAGCTTTATGGGTGGTAGATCAACTATTGATAACATTTTTCTTTAGGACAATTGAAGCAACTGTTTGCGAAAAAAAAGCCCTGCATCACTTATTTGTTGACTTGGAAAAAGCTTTCGACCGTGTTCCCAGAGAACTGATCCCATGGGCTCTGAGGCAACAGATATCCTGAAAATCTGGTAAGACTGATAAATTTGCACACCGAGTCAAAAACCAAAGTTTGACTGCCCCAGGGATGCAGCGACTACTTCAAAATTAAAAGAGGCGTGCATCAAGAATCTGCACATAGCCCATAGCTATTTATAATAGTAATGGAAGAGGCTACGAGAAACAATTGCTCCACGGTACCGTGAGATATGCTATGTGTAGATGGCCTTGTAATATCAGCTGAAACGAAATACCAGTCTAATAAAAAATTATATACATGGAGATAAGGCTCTGCAAAACGAGATTTACAAGTTAACTAGGATAAGACAAAACATTTGATTCAAGCCAAAAAAGCATACTTCAAAAAACCTGAAAACTTCCATGCGCTTGTTGTTTAAAAGTATTCGGCGCCAATTCAATACGCTGCAATTCTTGTAATCGATGGGATCATAAAAAAAGCAGTGATCTGACGAATTATGTTTGTCCAAGATGAAATAATCCTTCGAATTATCTCTCAAACCAGAATGCTACTCTACAGATCAATCCTTTTCAGAACCTGTACAGTCATAGATTTCTGCTATTTCTTGCATCATCGTGATATACGTGCATCATCGGTCAACCTGGGCGCAGACCAAGGCGATATCCAGCTCTCGTATGAGTGCTAATATGAAAGCTTAGCGTATAATAACAGGAAACACTCAAAGAAATCACAAGACAGAGTTAACGGAATAACAAGACAGAGTTACCAACAAGCAATGAGATGACAAGTCTTGTTGATCTGGACCAGCTACATGTGCGGTCACGGCTACTTGATTTTGGCCATCTTCATCCGAGAGGAATTGACCACGCGCTTAATTCTGTAAAAAGACCAGCAGGAAGACTTCAAAAACGCTAGATGGATTGTATTGAACGGGACGTGAATAATGTTGAGCCTCAAACCCAGTGCCTCGATCGGTTGGCAGGGAAAACGTATCACATTCCAAAAAAAAGCTTGAATATAACAGACCGTGTGTCCAACAGAAAGACCTAAAACCTAAATACCGCTGTATCAATTGTGCGAAACAAAACTGAATAATTTAAGCCTCAAACCCACAGACTGCCTTGATCGAATCGCATGGAAGAACGTATTATATTCCATTAAATAGCTTGAATGTATTTCCGAATGCCCTAATCTGAATACTCGAAGTGGTCAAGCTATCCAGATATACCATTGCTAGCTGTCCAACCCCGCCACAAAGCGAAAACACACAATAAACGCATTAGTAGTAGTAGTTAGACTTTTGCGGTTCGATAGTAGAGTTACCCTTTCTTTGAACAAAGGAAATGAACTGAACTTCAAAGAAATCAAAAGTCAAACCGCAAAAATTAAATTTGAACAAATTTTAAGACTTTTTCTTAAAAAATCATCGCGACCTACATAAGAGTAGAGTCTGAACGACTCTTAATAATTGTTTCGACGTTTTTGTTTCCAAAAGGGGCTATTTGAATTAGGTCAAAGGCTACAAAAAGTAAAGGCCATAATTGCTTAACTAAAATCGCATGAGACTTTATATGAGAGTTCAGTGTCATTCGTGTCATTGAGCCTTAGTAATAAGCCGTCGCATCACTTGAGATACAAAAACGAATGACCATGATTCAAATCAAATGAAAAAAAAGTTAACAAAATTGCAAAAAATATATATCAAAAAATTGTTTTTCTCAACAGAAATTATAACAACAAAATCTGCAACAACTTTCATTTTAGCGTTTCAGAGCAAAACATAAGATAAGCTTGTAACTTGACTAGAAGAATTAATGATTTCAAACAGCTAATATAAAAAGACTAACTCCATCAAATGTCTCCATTACTTTGAACTCATTTGACCCAGACTCAATTACCTTCGCTGGTATATTTCTACACCTCTGAACTTAAATTGAACGAAAAGATTGAAATCATAGATAATAAACATTTTTTGGTATAAACTAAACATCAAATGAATGATATGAATAAAAACATATATGTTTGAAATAAAGCGTCAAGTTAATCGGAATCATCGTCCTGGGGCGGGTCAGGCAAACTCTCGTACACTTGTTGTACATTTATTAATACAGTTCCATCTTTGCTGACAATAAGGTCGGGATCCATTTGCTCGTTGATTAGCTTCATTCGCACCTGCAGAGGATGAATTCCAACTTTGAGCATCTTCACATAACGCTTGTACTCTGGGTCGAATTGTGGTTTTTCAATTACATCCTCTTGGGGCTCCTCATTTTCGCCTTCGACCAATAGATCATCATTTGGAGCTTCATCAGTCATTAATGGCACCTCTGCTATTTCGGGTTCAGCTGTAGTACCTCTTTCACTAGACATTGAATTTACCCCTCCGCTGGTGACACCAATTGAGTCGAGTTTTGCATCCAAAATTGAAATTAATGCTGAGCAGTTTTCAGTTCTCGTTTGAATAGCGTTCAATTTGGCATCTGTCGATGCTAAGAGATCAGACAAAAATTGAGCTGTATTACTTATGTATTCATTTATCAAGGTCACGCTAATTTTCTGATCAATAGGAGTAATTCGGGTAAAATCTGCTCCTGGTTGCACAAAACTAGCGGGATCTGCTGATGGCATGATACCTGAAGCAAAAATTTTATGATCATACACTGAGCATACAAAACTTGCTCCCAGAAAAATAATAATAAAAATTTTTGGAAATATCTAGAGGAAGTAACTTCCTTTCAGGTTTTAGATCAAATCAAAAGTTTAGTTTTCAAATGTTTATACAGTTTCTGCAATTGCATAAAATTCTCCATTAGCACGGATTTCCTTTGGAATTTTTCTTTGGAAACTCTCAAGTAAAAACTCGTAAGAATGTCTTTGATGTTTTCTAAGTCGATGATGTCATATTTCAAACACTCGTTGACAAAATTAGTCAGTGTTAACACACGTTCAAAAAAATCCGATTCAAAATCCAAATGTCTTGTTTATACGTTCTTAAACTGAAATTAATTTTTACAACTGCAGTTCTGTTTTTCCATTTATAATTTTATGCAGTAGAAGTGGAATGTGTAGTTCAGGATAAAATGACAGCGGTAGGATCTTAAGTTGAATCATTCGGTCTTTGCATCCATATGTGCCTTCAATCCACATTGTTGCTTTCCTTTGCACATTTTCGAGTTTTAAGATTGTTTACATAGAGCTGAGCCATAACTTAAAATCGGGGCATATATGTTTGTATGCTTTTCCATTTTTATGATATGTTGCTGATTTCGAGATACCTTTTAACAGAGTATAACGCCTCTACAGCTTTGATTGATCACGTTTTTTCATTTTCTGTCCAGTTCGAATTTTTAATTACTAAGTCCGAGGTCTTTTAATTGGTTTAACTCCACATTATTTTAGTATTTTCTTCCACAATATTGTACTACCTTTGATTTCAAGTATTTAAAGATTTGAAACTTTTGTTTCCATACTGCTTCTCCACTGTATACAGTAAAAGGATCAGAGACTACTCGTCTGTTGTCAACGGTTTGTTTTCCTTAAAATTTAAAATGTTAATTCAAATGTTTTCGCACATTTTGTGCATCATCAAGATTAAAATTTTTCACAATTTTTACAGAACGATCAAAGATCTGAAACAGGATAAACATGTCTAAAAATGCTCTAAAACTTTTTGACCAATCCAGTTTAAACAACTGTAATTACATAATAAATTACGTAACCATTAATAACATTTTTCTGTAAATTTCTGGGACTTTTAAATTTTTTTGTTCTTTCATGGTTATGAAATTTTGATTTGGGAATATTTTTGATTCTGACATGTCAGTTTTTAACTTTTAGCCATGTTATACATAGACTATCATTTTAGTGTTTATTTCCGGCTCCTGAATTCATCGCGTTTTTTGATCCTCGGCCTTTCCCTCCAAATATGCAAAGACTCTAGTGTGAGTAACTTATGAGTGTTGGCTGTTCAGTCTATAATCTCTGACTTCAGCTCAGCAGTACGGACTACCTCCTTAATACATTCCAACAAGTGTTGCCCTACTGGGGAGTCCCCTTTGCGGTGTTCATCGACCCTCGTGGCTAAATGTCGGACTGTCTGGCCGACAAAGGTGGAGTTACATCCACTACATGTAAGCTTATACACCACGTTGGATCTCAGTTAACGAGTAAAGGAAATTTTGAAGGAGGGCCAGCATGTCTTCAATTTTCATGTTGAAACAATTTATTTGTGCCCCGGATATTTGCCGAACCTTTGCAGCTACAGTTGAGATGGATTGCCTCGATATTAGCCTAACTGTTGTGATAAACTTATTAAATAGATTTCCTTTCCCCGTATACAAACTGTGTATTTTCAGATATATGCCCTAGAGCTAAATCTAAAATCGCTTTATTGAACGGAAAAAATACAAAGTCCTGCTGCTCTAGGTGTTGCAGGTGAAGATTTATGGTGCACTTTGTTTGCGCAAGCTCTTTTCGTGCGGCCATCGACGCATCACGTAGAAATTTCCAACGAAAAATATTCCCCATCCAAACATCAATAGGAGAAATGAGCATCAACCCTACCACAAAAAAGAACTACCAGTCGATCCAGAAGAACTAAGACAAACTTATTCTGTGGCACGACTTGATAAACAATACTGTGCACCCCCCCCCCCCCCAGCAACAGTTGGAAACCTTGTTCAGTAGAACTACTGCTTTCGAATCTCCACGGACTGCGTCATCGGATCGCAGCAATAGTATACACAAAACGAACCAACACCACAGACATACTCAAAAGATTGAGAACATTGGACATCCTCATTATTCTAGTAAAAAAGTTATTATTCACAGGAAAGAGAAAGAACAACAGAATCTTGCGAGATTCGAGGCAAATTCACCCGTCTTTGATCCTTGAAGAGAGACTTATCAGAACCGTCTACAGAAGTATAAATAACTTGAAAAAGTTAGTCCTGAAGAAACGATCAAAGTCTTCTACGAAGAAGTCAAAGAAACAGTCAACGTCGAAGCGAAGGCAGAAAAAGAACAGCAAAAATTAAAAAGTAAGCTTTTTCTGAAATTGCAAGGGTAGCTTCTTGGGACTTAATTGTCTTAGAGCGGCCCAGTAATAATCAGATTAGGGCTTAGTGTTTTTGAAGGAGAAATTACGGGGTAGCTTCTTGAGACTTCAGTGTCTCAGTGCGGCCCAGTAATTTTTGTGAAGTTGATTTCATTAGGTAGCTTCTTGAGACTTAAGTGTCCAAGAGCGGCCTGATAAAATCAACCTTAATATGCCTTCAAAACTAAAAACTAGACGTAAAGGTACTGATTGTGTTATTGAAATGGACGCTTGGCAATGTAAAACGTGCAATAAGACCTATGGTAGCATCGATGATAAAGTAATGGAGTGTGATAAATGTCATGAACACTTTTGTACAACATGCATAAATATGCCTGACCAAGTCTACGATTACATGTGTCAACCTGAAGTCATCTGGTGTTGCAGTTGCTGCACACCGAATGTGAAACTTTTAATTGAAGCTGGCAAGAATCTAGAACCGGATACACTAAGGAGCAATCTGGACAAAACAATGGCGAACCTAAACCACATGATGAACGACTTCTACAAGTTTGTAGCAGGACCAAGAGCCGTGAATCAAACCGAACAGAAACCATGGGACGAGGCCCAACAGCCGAAAGTCAAGCAACTAAAAGAAATTATAATGGAAGCATCTGAAGAGCAAAAAAGAGAAGAAGAAGACGACAAAAGAAGAAAAAAGAACTTGATAATTTACAAAGCACCTGAGAGTACATACAGAGATGGACATAACAGAAAGGTAGAAGACAAACAACTGATAGAAGCATTTCTAGCATCGGTCGAAATGGGAAACAAAACAGCCACAAGTTTTGTCCGAATTGGGAAGAAGAACGATGAAGCCAAGACAAACAGACCACTGCTAGTATCCTTTGATAACGAAAAAGATGAAAACGAGATAATGAAAAAATTGAATAGATTATAAGATGCCGAATTTAAAGTCAAAAACCTGCGGATTGGCCCAGACAGGAGTCTCAAGGAACGAGAAGAAGTCAGAAGATTGATAGCAAAGGCAAAAAACTTAAACGAAAAGGAACAAGGAGACTACGTGCACCTTGTGAGGGGGTTGCAATTAATGAGAATGAAGAAAAATCCTCAAACCGGTCTTTAATTATCTGGTACACAAACATAGACACATTAACTCAAGACAAACTGCAGGAAATTACGTGGAAAACGAATCAAGAAAAATGCAAGCCTGATGTCATCGCTCTAGTGGAAGGCAAACCGAAAAACTCTCGCGGAGAGTGGAATCCAGTATGGCATAAAATCCAATACTAAAACATAGAATCAAAAAATATGAACCCATCTGATCAAGGACGCGGAATTTTAGTTTATATTAATGAAAACTTTGACTACTCCTTGAGCACAAATAATTCTTCTTTCTGTGAAAACTTGTTTTTAAAAATCAAAATTGGCAGGAACATCATCAACTTTGGTGTATTGTATAGAAGTCCAAACTCAACTAAAAAAAATAACCACCAACTAAAAAAATTCATCGCCAATTTGAACGAAACACGGCCAAATGACTCAACACTAATAGTGGGAGACACAAATCTACCACAGATAGATTGGGAGGCCATGAGTACATTAAAAGATGACAATAGCACTGAGTTCACCTTTATAGAGGCAATAAAAGACGCACTACTAACATAACATATCAAAGAGCCTACAAGGCTAACTGGCAGAGACAAGGCATCACAGCTTGATGTTGTGATGTCAGATATAGTCTTAAAAGATCTAGACATCACGTTAGGGGCGCCAATCGGAAAAAGTGACCACGTCCTTGTCAAGATAGATGTGCCAGTAAACAGGATTAAATCGAAATGTAAGAACCGCAGAAACTACAAAAAGGGAGACTACCACGGGATGAGAAACCATCTAGCTGACCCAAACGTTCAGTTAAACACATGGGAAAAACTGAAAAACTGCATGAAAGAGTTAGTCGAAACATTTGTGCCTTTAATTAAGATACGCAGCAGTGGCAACCAAATGCCTCTAGCAAGGGCGGTGCGCATGAAGATAAAAGAAAAAAAGAAAGCCTGGAAAATTTTCAAAAATTATCAAACAACCGACAATTTAACCAAATATAAAACCAAACGAAGTGAAGTTAGATCTGCCACGCGATCGGAGGCACTCACACGTGAAAAAGAAATATCATCAGAAGTTAAAACTAATCCGAAAAAGTTCTGGAGTTACGTGCGCCAAAAAACTACCATAAGAGAAGCAATCCCCGCTTTAATAAAACCAAATGGTATGCTAACTAACACAGACGACGAAAAGGCAGAAGTGCTCGCAAACTTCTTTGCATCGGTTTTCACTGACGAACCCCCGGGTAACTGGGAGATCAGCCCTCCACCAACCGCCAGTATTGATGACAACCTGGAGCTAACAATAAATGACATCCGAGAAGAACTCAATCGGTTAGACACTTCAAAGTCGCCTGGACCAGATGGAATTCATCCTAGGGTCCTATTTGAATTACGAGAATTCATCTTCAAACCACTTTTGATTATTTTCCAAACCTCTTGGGAGACAAACAAATTACCCGGAGACTGGAAGCTGGCTAACATTTCTGCAATATTTAAAAAAGGTGAC